CCTGCAGTGAATGTCCCTGGGACAACAGTTCCTCGTAGCACCTCATGGGGACAAATAACCAGAGCCAGGCAGGTAAAATCCCTCAGCTCCGGTGGTGTGTCATGGGAAGAGATGTGTGATCTCTCAGATCTGTCCCATTTCTCCTGCCCTAGCCTGCGTGGCTGGCACGTTCAGCCTGGTTGAGTAGGTAGGGCAGAGCTGTACCTGTGAGGTGCAGCGCAGGCTGGCTCCTGCTCTGCATTGCCTACCAACCTGCAGGCAGCCTTGACTGCCTGCAGCACTCTGACTGTCAGAGAGGAGCAAACCAAATCAGCATGCAACCCAAAAATAGCTGCTGTTTCTGACTGCGCTAATGCCTGTGCCACCTTTTGCTCGGGACACTTTCTGCACCTTACCACACTTTCACCAATGGCCTTTATACAAGGATCTTGCTTTTTTGACCTTTAGATAAAAAGCTTTCTTTTCAGCTGGGAAAAATTGGTTATGTTGTCTTTAAAAGGCACTAAAATTGCTAGGGAAGATACCTGTAATTCCAGAGAAAACCTCCTATCGCCCACTTCTTGCTTTTCTCTTATTTTGAGGGTTGCTGCTTTGCGCAGACGCAGTGTGTGCACAGCTGGGAGGGTGCCAGACATGAATCCATCTCCCATCACCAGGCGTCACTGTAGCACTGTCTGGGCCTTTACACAGAGCAGAGGGGCCAGTCCTGCCGAGACTGGACATACTGCCTGCACCCCACTTCATGGGCATGAGCACAGAGCTCTTCTTGGGAGAAGCCACCCATGCGGGCACAAAGTTGAGAGCACATCTATGCGTGGGGGCAGCTGTGCACACACATCCCCTCGTCTCTCCAAATGCCATTTCCTTGCAAGCCTCCCATCTGCCACCCAGGACCCCCCAACGCTGCAGCAGAGCCAGGGTGGGACATGTCACCCCTGCCCTCCAGCCCCCAAACAGCTTTGCAGTCAAGGAGATCTGGGTAACTCATGTCCTTGCTCAACCACCCTTCCTTGACCTCCATACAAGCCCTATGGGATTGTATGCTGTCCTCCCTCATTTGCCATCAGAGCACTTGCCACACAGTACCGCTTCATCTCTTGTCCCTCACCAGGCAATCACACTATCATTGTCTTCACGCTCCTGAAGGGGGTCCAGATCCTCCTGCCACAGCCCCAGAAGAAAATGGAGCCATTGGAGGAGCAAAAAGGTGAGCCAGGGCTGAAAGGAGTGCTCTTGCTCTCAAGGGGAGCTCCAGCTGCCGGGATGGGAGCTGGGCTTTAGGGCTCCCTGCATCAGTCCATGATAGTAAGTTTGTGCATGTTGTTTTTCTCAGATTCAGATAAAAGTCTTGAGAAAAGGCTCTCATTCAGCAAGTCTTTCTCCTGTCCTACAGAGCAGGTAGGTGGTCGCAGAGGCAGTCTACCTCCCCCAAACCACACCAGCACAAGCATATGGAGCAGCAGAGCTATGACTCCCCTTAAAACCCAAAGGCCAACTGGGTGGGTCTGTGCAGGATGCTGGTCACCCCCACAATCTCCAGTAACGTTCACAGAAAATCCCCAGTTGCTGCACCTCTCTGTGCCCTGAACACCCCCCCGGGAGCACACAGCAGTGCTGTTCATCCCTGATCACCCGCACCCTGCCTCCATCAGCAGTGGCCACTGATGCAACATCTCTCCTTTCCCTGCAGGCACCAAGGGAAGGACAGACCTCCGAGGAAGAACAGACCTCCCAACCTATCATCCACACTGAACAGGACAGGAGTGTGCTCCAAGAAAGCTGAGCAGTGGGGACACACTGCATAGTTTGCACTTAATCAGCAATAGGACCTAAAAATAAAACAACTCACAGCATCCCCCAGCCTGCCTGGTAACACAGTGCAGCAGCTTGCACCTCTGTGACCATGGCAGGGATGTGCCACAACACATTTCCACCCAAGGAGATACCCTTGTCCACATGACCATCTCTTTCCTCACAGGTATCTGTAGAAGACCGCATTGCCCATAGCTGGGACCCAGTAACAGTGTAAATAAATCACACTGGGTGTGCAGCACGACAATACCTTCGAGGTCTTTTTACAAGACATTTGGAAGGTGCTTAAAGCCAGAAAGCAGTCACAGTAAATACTTTGCCTGAGGATGGGGGTACTCAAAGACCACCAGTCCCCCAGAGCCCTGCTGCGCAGGGAGCTGTGCTTCTCAACAAGGTCCAGGATTGCTTTCCTCTGCTCAGCTTACCTTACAGCCTTGTCTCAGCTCCTCACCCCTCCATGCTTTCCACACAAATTAAATACCTCCTGTGGGTGGCAAGGCTAAGAGAGCCCACCTGGTTTACTACTCAGCTGTCCCTGGGTGGTGAGATGGTACCTGTCTTGCCAGAGCCTTTCTGATTTTCCAATCAAAATTGGCTCATGCCTGACTTGGGGCCTCAGCATGTTTTTTTAAAAGCCAGTATGTTTATAAAGCACTAACCAAATCATATAAAAGACCTTCATTTTCCCCAGGTGAAACTGAGTCAGAGTGGCTTTGCCAAGTCACCAGGAAGCTGCAGAAATCCCAAATGTTCTTTGGACCTCATGAAGAAAAGACCATGACCTTTATCACACCTGGCCTCTGACAGCTCCCTCGCAAGCTCTCAGCTTTGTAATTTTTGAGCTATTTTTAGCTACTTTTTAACCCTCAAATCTTAGAAGACTGCATCCTGGGAATAACACAGGTGCATTTAAAGGAGATGATGACATTTCACATTTGTCAGTTATGATTATCAACGCTTTGCTTCTGGAGGATCAAAAAAACAAACAAACCCAAAGTCCAACAACATTTCTATAAATGACGCACTTAGGAGTGGCATCAGCTTCCTACAACCTGGACTGTGACCAGCCTCTCAAAATTCCCCTTGTGCTGTAACTTGATTTTGCCCAAAAGCTTTCAGCCCCAAAAGCTAGCTGCATTTTTGTGTGCTTTGCACTAACACTTTAGGCTCTGCAGCCTGAGCCCAGCTGAGCCTGGTCCCTAGAAGGCTTCACGGATGTGCCTGAAGCTCATCACAGCAAAACCGCAGCTACGTGCAATCTTCACTCCACTGCTTCTGCGGACTTTTTTTTTCCCCAGTGCAGCAGACGAGACACATTGACCTAGGGCCATCCCTGTGCACACAAGCATGTCCTCAGCACACAAGTGACAGGATGGGGAGGACCTGGTCCCATAACATCAGGTTGAGCCAGCTGCCCCCCAGGTCACCCAGCAGGAGCAGGGGAAAAAGGCAGAGGCACAGCAAATGCACAACATACAGGCATAACAGCAGGGGAATGAAGCGTGTAGGGCCACATCAGCATGCCCTTGGGCACCATGCATGGTCTGTAAGCCCGCCTGTACGAGGCAAAGGCAGGCAGCACCTCCTAGATGGGCACTAATGCTGGGAGCCATCAGCACATCAAGCAGCACTAACTCTGGCAGCTGGCTCTGCCCCCAGCTCCCCAGGACGCCTTTACCCCCAGGCTGCGACATCAGGCACTGCCATACCACTCAGTTGTAATACTGTCCAGCTGTCCTTGCCACTGGTTTTCCATCCTGCCTGGCCTCTCGCTGGGCACTCGTCCATCCTCCCCGACCCTGCGAGGAGGAGAGGCAGCCTGGTGTTTTCCCCAGCGTTGGTCCCCGTACTGCATCCCCCCCTCCTCCAGTGGCCTGACGCTCTGTGAGCAGTAAGCTTTGCAGATGTGGTGCACGGATCAAGTTTCTCCTCTGACACCAGCCTGCTGGCACCTCTGGCTTCTCGGAAAGCAGGACACAGCCCTGCAGACCACACCAGCCTTCCCTGGAAATTCTTCCCAGCAGCCTGATTGCCCCAGAGAGACAAGTCACAGCCTCCACAGGTTTAATCATTGCTCCGGTTTGGACATCCTTGAGTGCTCTCTGCTTTCAGGAAGGCCTTTCCACAGCTTTTTAAGGCTGCCAAGTCACAGCCCTTTAGCAAAACAGCAGAGTGATGCAAGAAGACACAAAGGTCAAAGCAAGCTGGAAATATGACATTTTTACTAGAAGCTGAAGGAACCTGGCCCACAGCCTCACCTCTCCTCATGCAAGAGCAGAAACGTGCTGCTGCAGCACAGAGCCACCATGCTCCCCACAGCACCCCTGCTCCTCACGCTTCTGAGACCCAGACATGCATCTCTGGGTGTCCTCCTGCTTTCTGGGCACAAGAAAGACAGAGAGGAAAAAAAAACCAGCAGGGAGGAAAGGAAAAAATAAAAGTATTGACACAAGAGGAGTCGACATTCTCCTGGTTGCATTTTCTCTAATGGCACCTCATCAACAGTTGCATAGTCAAGCTTTCTTGTTGTTACATTTGTGTATTTTAAAGGGTTCCCAAGACCATCAGAAGGACCTTTGTTCTGAGCCAGGACCACTGAAGCAGGCTGGCACACGGACCTCATGAGCCACGAGCACATGCGTGTCAGTCTGCAACCCAACTCATGCACAGCAGTGCCTGCTGGTTTGAGGGTACACACATCTGTACAGCAGGTACACAGCTAAGCAGATACGTGGGCTCAGTGGTGCATTCTGGGCAGCCATTCATTCGTAGAGGACATGGGTCGAACACATCCACTCCCAGAGTTTTACATGTATGCAAATACACACGTGCAAGCATTGATGCTCACCTTCGCACCTCAACTCATTCATGAAATCCTCACCCTCACTCCACAAAAACAATGCAAAAAACCCCACCATTCAGCCCACTATTTCACAAGAGACAGCTTGCTTCCGAGGACAGGAAGCTTTCAGTACTTCTCAACATCTTTTCCCATCAGATACCCATGTGGGCCAGAAGCAATTCACCTGAGCAGTGACAAAACCATCCACCACCTTACCTAAACAGCCAAGAGGCACTTCCACAGGAAGGCCAAAAATCCCAGCCTTTTGGGTATTTTATAGTGCTGCAGACTGTCCTTCTGTGCAGAAGGGATGGGGGACCTCATTCATAAATGAGTGTAGTAAGAGTCAGTTTTGCAGGCAAGTTTATTCCAAGTTTGGTTCTCCATAGGCTAATTGAAAGAATAACAATCTCAGTTTGAAAAAAATTAAAAATCTTTTCAACAGCTGAAAAATATTTCTGTAAGCAACACATAATCATTGTGCAAATCAGAGCGTTAGCTGAGAAACAAACAAGCAAGCCCTTGGACAATCAGACACACGATGCATGCCACAGGATTTCAGAAATGGGTTTGTGCCACCCAGCCTCCAATATTAAAGCTCTGAGCTTACAGCATGCTATGGCTGTATGGGCACCAGCTCTGTGCAAGGGAGGCGAGCCTGGCAGGAGGACAGTGATGCACCACCAGCAGCACTGTTTTGGAGACAGCGAGTGCTTGTGCGTAGCCCTGCCTTGCAGACTCAGCCTGCCGTGGCAGAGCTTGTCCTTTCCAGGAGGAACCGGTCCCTGCAGTCCCTTTGATGTCAGCGACCTTTTTCAGGTGAGTCAGGAGTACTCACAATAGCAGAGTTTTGTGGGATCGTGCTCCTTATGTCCATTCCTCGTGGAAACATCTCCTGCGTCCCTCAACAGAAGTCCTTCAGGTCCCGGCAGGCTGGGCTTAGTGTGCCTCCACCAGATCAGAGGGATAATGGGCCAAGGGCAACTCTGCAGCCAGACCATTGCCTAGGCATCTCATTTTCTGGCTGCTGTGTTTCAAAAAGACTGAAAAGAGAGAATCCATGTCTTTTTAGGGGTAGATGAGCGTCTCATCAGTGCAAACTGTAGGGAACAATGGCCCTAGCAAGGAGCTCGAACTCCTTTTCCTTTATCAGAGAGTCCCATGCTGTCTGGCAATGCCTGAGCTCTTCTCCTGCCTCCTAGATGTGTTGGGTATATGGGGGCTGTCCCACATCTCCTCGTTCTCCGTAAGGATCAGGACCTTGATCTCCACCTCACAGAGTCAGATAAGCCCAGAGGGACAGAGGTAGTCAAGGGGGACCTGGGCTGACACTCAGCTTGGTTCCCTTCCAAAGCCCGTGGTTGTTACACCAAATACTTCTGAAGCATCTTTAATTTCTTAGTCTAAGTCCTCCATGCTCTCCTGCATGTGCTCTCTCTCCCATCTCCTTACCCACTTTGTTCAACTCTTTTGCAGATGAAGAAATAGGGAATAAAAAGAGGCAGTGATGGTGGGTTCAGACAAGGAATATGAGGCAATGATATCCTACAGAGAAGGGTCCTGAATGTCTGCAAAGTTACTGTATTTGGGATTCTGGCGTAAACTGTTGTAGACATAAATGGTAAGTGCTGGAAAGAGCTTCAAGAAATACTCAGCATGGTCTCCTATTCTGTTGCTGATCCTGAAAGAGAACAAAAACAAAATGGATTTTTAAAGCTTGCGCAAGGAGTTGAGTGTCCAGGATGCCCTAGTTCCTCCCTTACAGAGAAGAAGCCATTCCCGATAACACAGGAAGGTTTCCTAGAAATCCCGGAGCTGCAACTTTTCTATACCTTCCCTAAACTCCTCAATCCACTTTTTCGCCATTCCTCCAGCACCTCCATCTGCCTAATCCCACCTGTATCTTCACTGAAGACCAGTGCTAGCCACCAGCGTCAGTGAAACCATCACTAGGAGTTAACCTCTAACCTCACGTGTAAGCACCCATGACTGTAGAGGGTTGGAGAGTCTGGCAGCTCTTTAGGAGTGAAGACCTCCTAACAGGATCTTCTAACAGGACCAGTGCTTCCTGATCCATATCTTAAAGCACTTGAGCACAGTAAACATCAGTACTCTGGAAATACTAGCAAGGTAGATAAGGATGCTTTTCAAAGGTATAAAGGATGATACAAATATTTAAGAGTGATCTGAAAACCTTCCTGGAGTTATGGCAAGAAACACTAGCCTGCAGCAAAAATAACAGCCCAGAAGGACACATGTCCTCTGCTGTAGAGCCATGACCTGCCTTAGCTGTTACAGACATGTCTCTACCCCACAGGCTGCTCTGCAAGGGCAGGGGTGCAGAGGGAGCTGCCACCAATCCTCTGAAGCTACTGCTATCCCTCTGGAGCGGAAGGCTCTGATTGAGGATGTTCATCCGTGGGAGATGATCTGGGAGTCAGATTTTGCTTCAAAATCTGAGGTCTAATCCTGTGAGCTAACTTCCTTTTCTTACCCTCAGGAAGGTGATTTTGAGGGCTGACTCAAACTGCTTACTGCCGTGATGCACAATCTTTCACACTCTATTGCGCTGCCAGAGGAGATAGTCCATTAAAGCTTATCTCGTTAGAGGAGCTTTCTCCCACATCCCAGTTGTGTTCGCCCTTCTGGAAAACCATCTGAAGAAGATTTTGGTCTCAAACTCACTGACACTTGCAGATACCCAGATGCTCCCTGCAATGCAACTGTGTCAGGGGCAAGGATGTGAATGTGTACCTGGTATCTGGGTGTTCATCCAGGTTTCTGATGAGCCTCAGTAGGTCGGTGACATCATTGCTATATTTGAGTGTTATTCCTTTCCTAGGATTTTCCATGATTTTCAGAACATATTTGTCAATCTGGAAAAAAGCGTGTAGATTATTCTCTTTCACACACCACAAAAGCAGCACATCTACCTCCACTTGCCACAGCCACTGCCTTTCTGCAGGGACATCATCTTGCATGGGTCAATCTTGTGATCCTTAAAAGCATATTTCCCAACATGAGCAGAAGAGTTCATTCTGCAGGGCATGTGCCATACAGACCCCCTGGTTCTGCTAAGTGTTTCCTCTCCTGCCTTGCCAAGGCATGGCATTCATATTAGGACTGTCAACATGGCACGGGAGATTTTCATGCATGCCTGGAGGGCAGGAGGGACTCGGGAGTCTTGATCCAACTGTGCCACTGTTGAGAGGACCACATGGGCTGCCGTACTGAGCCGAGACTGTCAGATCTCCAACGATGCAGCACATCTTCCAGCACATCTTGCAGGATGCTACCTGCAAAAGCAGGCCTGGTCTCACTGCTTTTGAGCCAATCTGACAAAACACTTTTGCCAGAAATTTGCTGGCAACAAGGGCCAGAGGTCCTTGTCTTAAGGGGTCACCAACAAACACCCTTGAAGGTTTGCCAGCTAATTCTATAATGACCATCCCCTACTACCACCCCAGTCAACAGAGCTCCCTTTAGCATCAACGTCTTTAGTCTGGTGTATTTCAACTCTGTGGCTTAGATTTGTTTCCCCCCCAGTTATCTGTATTTGCATGGGGCTACTTTTTCCAGTTATGATTTTAAACAGGGCCTGTGAAATGCTCAGGAAAACCTTCTGCCTAAATGTCTAGCTCAAACCTCATATCAATCCAAAGACAAGAGGATTACCTTCTCGGTCCACCGTGGATAAGGAAAACTTTCAGTAGCATTAGCAGCTTTAAAGACAGCTTTTCGTTTGCAGAGATCTTTGATTTTATTCCATATACTCTTCAGGAACTTGAACCTGCTGTGGAAGGAGGAGCTTCATTAGCTGCAACAGGACATCGCTGTTCGCAGCACTCCAGGCAAATCCTGTATCAAAAGCTTTTCCTTTGTACTCCCAGGACTTACGTCTGTTTGCTCCAGAAATAGGGATGTTTGCTCAAATCTTCCAAGCCTCGTTCATCATGAGAGACCAGGCTACTTACAAGGTCCAGAGCCTCCTCATAATCTGGGGAATCAGCAGCCAAATCCTTGGTACTGACTTGCTGAAGGGGTTTCCTACCCCCTGTTAAAACATACAGCACGAGCCTGCTGAGGGCCTGCAAAGAAACACATCACTGTTCACGTGCCAGATGTATGAAACATCTTACCAAATGGATGAGGACTAGTATTCCTAAATAAGCAGACTGTGTTTGTGAACACACACGCACCTATAGGTGTGCAGAAGTATACAAATACACACAAACTTTGAAGCTGTGTGCACAAAGACAGAGGAGACAGGCACCATAATCCTGCTCACAGGGTATCTGTGGATATCCCAGCACCAGACACAGCCTTGCATCCTAATCACTATCATTCTTATGCAGCGTCTACTGTTACATGGGCTTTCCCAAAAATCAAGGTGTTTTCTAGTTGAGGATGCAGAAAGGCTTCCCCTAGGATTCACAGCAACAGAAAACATCAGAGCGCGCCTGAAATTTTAAACCATATATTGATTTGCAGGGAAGTTACCTCTAAATCTGAGTTTATGAGTTCTTTTTTGCCTTCAATCAACTTTCTTTTATTATCAAAGTCTGCCAAGTAAATTTTGCCACGTAAATCTGAGGAAATAAGAGAAATTGTTAACAAATAACGGTGGAAAACCTTGATACAGTCTGTCACTGACTTCTGGATGGCCCCTTCTTTAGAAAACAATTCTGTGAAGAGATCTGCTGTGGGTTGATCTGTCTGCAAAGCCCTGGAAAGGAGGGCAGATCTAATGAGACATGTGAAGTTGTTCTGTTCACTCCGCTGTGGCTGTCTGCAAACATATCTATACTTATTCAAAGAGAAGAGCTAATGCCACAGACACCTCATTCTGTATAAAGACATCTGCACTGGTGTTTCGTATCTGTTTTTTTTACAGACAGCTATGAAGCATCTTCTTCTCTAAACTACAGGCAACAGGAAAGCAAAATGAAAACATTGAGAAACCAAAAGATAACCTATGAAAAAGTTGGTAGGATGAAGATCCTGGTGAGCAAATCCAAGGAAGTGCAGCTCTCTCACTGCCTGGAAGATCATCCTCAGAGCATCTTTGTAATCCATTTGGTCTTCTGGTTCCTGCAGATGTTCTTCAAGGTTTTTCTCCCAGAGGGGGAAGCACAAGTACATGTAGCCTCTTGCCTTCTCAAACTGGAAGAGCTTCAGTAGATGTTCACATTTACCACATTGTTCGAAGAACCTTTTCTCTTTGTCACCCTCTGTACTACGGCTTATTCTTACTGCTACCTCCGTCCCACCGTGGAGCCCCAAGTAGATGCCACCCTGGGAAGTGTTCTGAATTCTCTGCTGGATGTATTGAAATGTCTTCAGTTTGCCAATCATAGGGCGATATATTTTATAAAGATTTTTCAGCTGGTCCCTCCAGCATTTGCTGTTTGGCTCCCAGTCTTTGAAGGTTTCTGGAACGAACTTGGCATTATACTCACGAAGAAGACATGCCATGTTATGAGCACGGTTTCTATTCACAACAGCGATAAGATTCCCAACATCAGTCCTTGCTCCTTTTTCACACAACAACTTTGCTATATTGTAATCATTTTTCTCCACAGCCACCTTCAGTGCTGTGTTGCCCTCCTCATCTGCATCATCAATATCTATTTCACCCTTCTCCAATAAAGCCTTCACCAAATCTGGGCTCTGCATTTCAACAGCTAGGATGAGGGCAGATTTCCCACATTCATCTTTGCTGTTCACATCAATACCACAGTTCAGCAGGAAATGGCCTATGAAGACAGCTGACTCATATCTTTCCTTGGCACAACCCTCCTTGAGGGCATGGATCAAGGCGTTCCTATCTTTGTTGTCACAAATGTTCACGTCAGCCCCCATCTCTTGGACAAGAATTTTTACAACTGAGAAGTGGTGCTTCCTAGAGGCATCCATTAGTGCTGTCGCACCTCCTTTATGCAGTTTTGCTTTCTCCTCACTAACTGCCCTCCTCAGATTCACATTTGCTCCTTTGCTGTACAGGAATTTCAAGGCTTCCTCCTTCCCATAACATGCAGCCTCCATGAAAGCTGTGAAGCCATTGTCGTCATGGTCATTAATATTTAACCCATGATCAAGGAGGAGCTTCAGTATATTCACGTTTCCCACTATCGCTGCCTCAGTAAATGCAGTGCCACCATTGTCCTTCCTGGCAAGTGGACAAGCACCCTTGTCAAGCAGAAGTCGGACCAGGTCCTCATCATCAGCTTGCACAGCGCTCTGCAGTGGTGTCCAGCCACTTTCTGCTTTGGAGTTCACATCTGCCCCTTTCTCCAGCAGCTCCAGCACATCTTTTCTATTCCTGTTCCTCACAGCAGCATTTAACTTGAAGGCAAGGTCTTCTGCTGTCTCCCTGCTGGAAGGGGTAGATGCCTCCTGCTGGCTGTGAGCTGTGGGCTCCATGATGGTCAGAGGGAGGGCCCCGTACCTCCGATGTTCCTCACCTGAGCCCGGGGATCCCACTGAAGGATGGGAGAGGTGCAATGTTCAGTGCCTTCGTTGTGGGGAATGCTCTGGGTTTGGCTGGCAAAACACACTAGGTAGGGTAGGCTGCTATTTTAAGGGCTTCATGGTCTTCACCTAATTAATAAACAGAAGATCATGTTTTATTAGACTGTGAAACCTCGCCATTTACGTTTGATGTCCTGCAGGTCTATCTGAGGGGCAACTAAGGACAGCAATGCCAGTGCCAGCCGAGAGAGCTAAGGCCTGGCGAGAAGCATGACTTTAGCACTTACCCAGACATACGTACTCATCATGTTTGCTTGCCTGATCTCAGCACTAATCGCAGCCCAGGCAGTCATCCCCTGGGGCATCTGGGTGAGGGAACGAGGGGGAGAACCCAGGGTGTTCTTTCTATAAATGTTATCTCAGACTTATTACAGGTTACCTAATAAGCTGGCCCCTAGTGATGTTTTCAGGTGGAAAATGCAGCAGGCAGGCAGAAAAGGGCATTCCCCTTCAGTTTTGGATGGCAGCCACACACGCTGTCCTGGGAAATCCCTGATCCGATACCTGGAATGAGACAGAAAGCCAACCTTAATCCCTCCTGCTTTCATAGGCAATTTGGAGACCCTACCCGACCAGAAGCCTTTCCTAAGCTTTTCACGACATTAAGAGATTAATCAGGTAGGACCTGATCTATCTATATTTATCTAGTATCTAGAAAAGCTGGAACTCCAATACCCGTTTTCCTGACTGCAAAGGCTGGTTCAAGTGACCAGCGCTTTCAGGAGTCACTGTCTGACAAGCTGAACTGGAAATAAATTATCTAAGCAAAGCAGAAAAGGGACAGAGAAGTCTTAAGGTATAAAGCCAAAGTATAAATTCACATGAATTTACCCTCAAGAAAGCCAAGGACCATTTTATGGATGGTTTCTCCCCCTGCCCAGCAGGAAATGAATACCCTATTTCATTGATTTTGATGCATTTCACTTCCTTGCAGTAACTTCTATGCCTTTTGCCACATATAAAAAAAAAATAGAATCATAGAATAGTTTGTGTTGGAAGGGACCTCTAAAGGTCATCTAGTCCAATCCCCCTGCCATGGGCAGGGACATCTCCAACTAGATCAGGTTGCTCAGAGCGCTGTCCAACCTGACCTGGAATTTTCCCGGGGATGGGGCATCCCCCACC